GGGCCTTGTGGCCGTCGAGCATCTCTAGGAAAGTCATGGCATTGTCCTTGGCTTTTCCGAAGCCCTCCTCCTTTCTCGCTTCCCACTTGTTGTGAGCGGTCAAGACTTCTTTCTGAAGCGTGTATATCGACGGCGGCTTGTCTACCCCATCTAGGAACTTTATGTTGTGGCAATGCAATTTGAATTTTCTCCAGGTCTCGGCGACTTCCCGGCATTGCTTCTCGAGGTCCAACAATTGAAGATCGCTGGCGAACGGTTAGAATTGGCGATAGACATCAATACCTAACTATGCTTACTCCGTCTGTTCTTCAAATTTCAGCCAGTCTCTCCAGTCAGTGGCTTGGTTCTCAACTATCCTCTCCTGCTCTTCCCACACACCCAAGGCTTGTGCAACCGTATTATCGGGCATTTCTTCCACAACCTTCTCGCTGTACCTCCTCACAATAGTGGTGATTTCTGGATCGGCATTGTTTGATCCCATACCTATACCGTTATCTTACTTGTAATGACGGGCTTAAGTGTTCGTGAATATAGTAATGCGAAACTGATTTAGCGTAGGTCACAAGGGGAGTTGCCGCGTATACAGCTCGGCTCCCTCCCAAGGTTAGGTGTAAGGCTGTGATCCCACTGTGCATTTGGGAGGCGGAAGGATCATGTTACTGTGCAGGGTAGCCGGCGATCGAAGGGATATGTATATTAAGTGCTTTACGTCAGCCTCTATTTTCATAATTCCCTGCTACTGACTAACTTGATAAGCAGAATCAATCCATACAATAAGTAAGCTGATATGCATCGGGCGCATATTCTATGCAGATGTAACAATGTGTAATAAGGACTATCCAATAATATACGATGATAACTCGAAAATATCCAGCTACCTGGCGCACCCCCTGTTCCCTGATTATTGGGGGCCAAAGAGTCTCATTCTGTTTGGGGGTTTTGAGACTCCCCAGCCTTCTTCTTAAGAGGTGAAAGCACAACCCTCATCGTATCACCTTGAACAGGTTCAAGGATTTCCCATTCTGAAGCCGTTAGTCATGACGCCTAGAACTATGGCTGACCAAGAACCGGCGCCGCTACCAAGCAATGAAACAAACAACTTAGCCGACATCGAGCATCCGAAGCCGAGCGGTATATCCCCCAATGCAGATACTACAAAAACAGAGGCAGTCGATTCAATGAAGAAGGCAGAGTCTGAGCCTCCTTATACTAAAGAAGACGTGCGTGTCGAATCCATGAGGAAAGAGAAGGCAACAGAATGGGTGTCTGATGCTTCGCTTTACTGCCCTAAGAATGGATTACCACATTCTATAGTGCAGGAATTGACGTTGAGGCGATGCCCGGCCTGCAGCCAAAGCCTCTACAAGCGAGAGCGAGTGATACCGAAAAAGAAACCCACTGGCGAGGCTACTGGTGAATCTGATGAAAATGTCTCGTACGAAATAGAGTACCGTGACGTAGGAGGCTACTGGATCGGCCGAGAAGATTGGCCCGGCATACTCGACCTTCATGAAGCAAGGAAAGGAGAGGTGGCAGAAGGGGACGAAGGAGTCATGAAAGTTGTGTCGGTGGTATGGACCAACCATGCACCTAACCAAGTGAGAGGTGCTTCCGAATCGCAATTCATTATGGAAGCCGGCATACTCACCAATCACGGGGTTGATGTGGTTCCACATGGGACGAGGATTGAAATATACTCTCAGAAATTCATCGAAATGCTCCGGAAAGTGGTTTTATACTACCCAGAAAGGAGTATCGATGGCAAATCCCTCACTCTTTCAGAGCCATATGCGCTTATTGCATATCACTTACCGGAAATTGAGGCATTCAAATCAACGTTTCAGGAGAATGGTAAATCCACGGCGCAGGCAAAGGCCTCGAGCACGGGTTTACCCTCCCGATGCGACCAGGTTACATACAACCACATCGAAACCATTCTCACCTTCGCCAAAGAGTCTATCTGGAAGGGTAAAGTTGCCGAGGAGGAGGCCCGCCATGCACGGAAGATACCACTCGCAACATTCTCAATGCTGTGGTTGCTTTACAAGCCTGGGACTACAGTGTACACAGAGTCAGATGGCCGGTTGGCCGCTTACGTCGTCCAAAGGATGTCAATCGACTCAGCTGTCCTTTCATTGCCGCCAGAAAAGCTCAGCTCGTACAGAATCCAGCTCTGGTATCTCGACTACGACGGAAAATACGTGAGGAGATTCTCGAGGGAGGTCGTCATCCCGCCTTTTGTAGGAGAGAAGCCAATAACCGAACTTAATGTCATTCCCTGTAAGTTTCAAGACGGGCAGGACAATGGCAAGGTGAGGGATAGGCTTCATAGTGAAGGCGAGCGATGGTACAAACTTCTCCAGGGAGGACTAGTAGGATACCAAGGCGATACATTAGAGACGCCAAAACAAAATGTCGGTCCCATATCCCAAAGTGTTCTTATTTATTACTGATATGAAACGTAGATTCATGATCGCGTCGTCATCGATTGTACGTCGTACTGGGAGCACAATAATCTCGAAGAGAAACAGAACAAAAAGAAGAAGAAGAAGAAGGATGACTCAGACGATGAAGACTCAGATGATGGTGATGAAGATGAAGGAGACACTACGGCTGAGAAGAAACCTAAACTAGTCAAGGATTACGGCATCGGGTCAAGCAAATGTCCTTGTTCCGCATGCCTAGGCTTGAGGCCACATCCCCCTCCGCGCTTTATGTGGACGAGATACGATCTAATCGACCCGTCACACGAAGCAACCCTAGAGCTTTCAGATGGCCCAGAGAAAGATCCCAAGCATCGCTATCTGCTTTGCTCGAAACGTGTGATGGGCTTTGCCCTCAAGTCAAGGTCTTGGCGTATGGACACCAAACTACACTATGACTAGAATTCGCTGCTTACGTTTTATAGATGTCTTCGATGTTGCCAAGTGCGGCGACCCACGGATCAATAAAAAGGCTATAGACACATTGGTCATGCCCGAGGAGAGGAAGAGAATGATTAAGGGCCTTGTCCATCGGTACACAACCCAGTCGGGTCCCGGAAAAAGTCTCCAGCAATCATGGCAAGCGGACTTCATAGAGAGCAAGGGTGACGGAAGAATGGTACGTATTGATGTTTTGTGTGTCCAAATCCCGATTATTAGCTCGAGGCTTATTTCCGAATTTCTGTTTTTGTCATACAGCTGCTGACCTCTTTAATAGTATGCTGACACATTTTCTTAATCGTCTTTCAAATTTCACTGGGTTAGCCCGGGAATAAAAGAGCCCCCTATCAACATAGACAACCAATACGAATACGAGCCCCGAGGCTAACATGCTGCAGATTCCTTTTGCATGGGAGCCCTGGCGTTGGCAAAACCTACACAGCCGGTAATCATAGTTTAAGATATATACACCTATTAAGGAGCTTTTTAACTGACCTCAAATATATAGAATGCATAGCCGAGTTTACAGGTCGGCCATTGTTATCTCTTACTTGTGGCGACCTCGGTAACGACGAGACTGAAACCGAGAAGCAGCTGTCAAAATGGTTCAAGCTCGCTGAAAGATGGGGTGCTGTCAGTAAGTATATACACTTTTCTCCCTCTTTCTCTACCCGCGAGTTCTCTCTGTCTTTTCATCTTATCATACCGATTTATTTGTTAGAATATCATAGAATTGCGAGCTTATGGAACGAGTCTTGCGGACAAAGACTCGTGGTCAAATCCATTCAAACATAGCAAGAGCTAATCCATACTGCCAGTGCTCCTTGATGAAGCAGATGTCTACACGGAGAGGCGCCAGATAACGGATTTAAAGCGCAACACTATGGTGTCCGGTGAGTGATTACACAACCTCCTGATCTATACGATCATGTCATTGGACTTTAAAGGCTGACTAGGGTACCTTTATTTTCAGTCTTTCTCCGCTGTATGGAGTGTAAGTTCAATATGACCAATCCATTACTCCAGCTGTTTTGATTCCGCAGTACCTCACTCTAGCAACTCAGTATATTGTGCCGGCACAATGTTATGTAACCACATGTTCTTAACTAACCAATTGTTGGCCATCAAAATTAGATTACCGAGGTATTCTATTCCTAACTACGAATCGGGTTGGTACTTTTGACGATGCTTTTGTTTCGAGGATCCATGTAGGTATTGATCTGCTCCTTGCCGTTCCTGATACTCACGAGTACAGATTGTTATTCATTATAAAGACCTTGACGAGACAGACCGAAAAAAGATCTGGAAGCGGTTCTTTCAGAAACTAAAAGATGATAGAAAAGACGATATCAAGATCGACAGCGACACCAAGGATTATGTTCTGGAGAACTCCAAGATGCAGAAGATTAACTGGAACGGACGCGAAATCCGCAACGCTTTCCAAACTGCGGTTGCCTTGGCCGAGTATGAGTTCAGCATCAAGGAGGACAAAGAACCGGGAGAGAGACCCGTGCTGAAGCAAGAGCACTTTGAGGAGGTCTGTGGCATATCACTCGAGTTCAAGAAGTATCTGAAAGCGACGCATGGGAACATGGATGAGAACCAAAGAGCAGCAAACCTAAAGATTAGGGCAAGGACGGACGGGCTTGATGGTATTGAAATTTAGTAGTCACTCTTTTACTATCACACCACAGAGCATAGTCAAATTTCTTAGACACTCATTAAATCAAGGTATAGCTTTAATAGTTTCGACATTGCAAAGACATCAAGTTTCCTACTACGGGATATTCCTCGTCGCCTTGATATTGCCGGTGATGATCTCGTATGACATCTGGGTTATGAGATATTATACCTACATAATTACAGAGCCGCAAGGATATAATAGTTATAACTAGTGTAATTGATCGAATAGGCTCCCAAAGGACCTATGAGATAGCTTGAAGTAACTCAAGTGTGGCAAATTATGAGGAAACATGGAGAGAATGAGTAACAGACAGTCAAGTTTTCGATCGAGTAAATTCACAAGGAAAAAGAAAGGGGCAAAAAGGTTATTGTATGTTGAATATAGAGGTGACAAGGACTGAGCGTGAATCGAACACGCGACCTCGGGATTATTGAGATAACTGCAATCCTACGCTCTACCGCTGAGCTATCAGTCCAATTACCAGGTTTTTTTCTTCGGAAATGTGGGGTTATGTCACAAGTTAACCGTTGCCGCTATTACCTACCATAGACAGGCCGAGTTGTATGTATCGTGTCGATGCGCCAACGCCTTTCTACCTGTTTGGCGATCTCGAGAGAGAGATTGGGAAACCAAGTCTTATATCTCAACTGAGACAGGTTTGTTGGATTCGATAGGTCTTGGTTGGACCTTGTCGAAATGATTGGACACGCACAAGAAATGAAAGGTAGGTAAGCGGTGCTGAAACGACAGCATAGCAGCCCTAGTAATTGAAGAGCTGCAGAATGGACTATGTCGAAGACTTTGGCCAGTTGGTGGAAAGGGAGATTGTCACATGGAGAAAACATACGTAGTGTTCCTGAGAGACATGGCTTCTTATAATATGACTTTTTTTGTAATACCTCCAAATGGGCACATATGATGCAGCTATTGCGTGCTATTCGCGCAATTGCATCATCCTTCGTTCAGCGCTACTGATCCGTGCCTTCAAGTCAAAAAGGAGACGAAACCAATATTTGCCTCAATTAACTCCTCGACCGGGAATATTAGGTATTGATCTCCCCGTGCCGTCGGGGTTTCTAGACTGTGAAAAGGGAGTTTTGGAGAACTATATATTTCGAGCTAGTATCTAGACGAGGTAGCTTCTTCTAAGGGTGAACTCAATTACTCGAGGACCTCAGAGTTACAGTACAGAGTGCCTCAGCATTATTTCCGAAACAAGTGAACATGATAATATGCTGCTACATACCTAACCTTGAAACTATTTAGTTTAATAGTCCCCCCTGGCGATGCCAGCTTTTCCCCTTGTTTGTGAATATTAGCCTTCATCTGTAGTTTCCAATCAGGAAGTACTCCATGTCAGGCCAGACCGGGTCCTCGGGAAACAGAGAGCGGCACGCGACATAAAGGTGCACCATACACGTTATTCCGCGCCATGACCCCTCGAGGTTGACTGCATGGTTATGTGTCTGTAAATATAAGTTGTATTTCAGGATGCCGCATTTTACCGGATTGATCCGAAGAAAGTAGTCGCGCTCCTTGATGAACTCTGGCAAGCCGGGTATGTCATCTAGGTCGTCCAGATTGGGGATAACAAACCTTCCGGAAAGATCTCTCCCACCTGACATTGAGATTTGTTTTCGGAAATTATCTTCAAGGACGTCGCGTTCGTGAGCGCTTAGAAACATTGCTAGCCACTGGGATCCTTCCGGGCGTTGGGAGAAGGGCTCTTTGTCGAGATTCTTACTTCGAATTGCGGATAGCTTGTGACGGGTGTGCTTCTGAACCTCCCGCAGTGCTTTCTGTGGCACGGCCTCAAGCTCATCCTGAATATCCAGAAGCAGCTGAACTCCGAAAGCGACCCAAATAGGAATCGTTTCGGTTTCGAACATGACGCCGATTCCAGAGGTTATCTCATCACTGGCGGGGGAATGCGCCATGGCATTCGAGACGCCTTGAAGGCATGGCAACATACGCTTGATACGGCGGAAGGTTTCCGAAGCAGTTGAAGAATCGGTTCTATCTTCAGGTAGTATGTATTGCTTGCCTATATCATTCACCTCATATAAAGCGTGCTTCAAAGCATTGAATGTCTCTGACAAGAACAGGTCCGCGTGAGCGCACCTAATCTCAATATATTCTGGCGAGGGCTTTATAAAACTCTCCAGATCCTCGTTTTTCTTAATCAGGCCTTCTTCATGCGTGATGTACATGAAGATGTCGGGAAAGTTCCAAACGGGGTACAGTGAGGATGGGTACTTCTTTGGCCGTTCGGTCAGTAAATCTAACTCGTGTTCCGCTCTTCGCACCAGCTGAATGGCTGTGTTTGTGAGTATTGAAGGCAGCATGAGCTCTGATGGCCCTCTTCTGTATCCGTTCCAGAATCGTCGTATACAAGAGCGCACCTCGTCAAGTTCCAGCATGAATTCAAAAATTGCGAAGAAGAAATCATCCTCGAGCTCTTCTTCGCTCTTAACGAGTGTGACAGAGGCAACGTCCGTCAACTTATAGTCCTTTTCATCCTGCTCGGCCGAGGTACCCGTTTCTACTTCCAAGCCTTGGTCAAGAGTGTCCTCGACGTTGAGCCCGGAAAAGCGGTTAATTAGGTTGATTATAGGTTCCTCCGGTTTTTGAACCTTCGGTGACTTTTTCTTAGCGCGAGCTGTCCGCACTGGCTCGAATGGGCGTAGAATTTCCCACGCGCTGGTAAGAACATTCGTAAAGTGCGCGTGACGTTGATTGCTCTCTTCTTCGCCATGAGAATACATCTGATACCATTGTGTAAATCGACTTCGAGCGTCGATGGCACGGCTAAACAAATTGTCCAAAGCTTCAGGTATAGCGACTTTGGGCGTGAAGTCGGCGATGGCCTTTGCCATGCGGCCAAAGTCGGAAACACTTATAGTATATGTAGGCCCGCTTGATAATTTGGCTGATACTGACTTCTCCTTGTCACGAGCTAGTTTCCTAGCTTTCCCCTTTGGTCTCGCGCTTGAGACATTGGAAGGGTTTGAGGAGAGTGGCTGGCCGATTTGGTAGCCACATCTAAGGGCGTTGCGAGCCAGCCATCCTGCGATAGTTTCAGTGTCCTCCTTATATTGTTTATAGGTGACAAAACGATCATCGCCCGTCCACTCCATGCTTTCTAGATTGTTAAACAAAGGAGAAAGTCTGATTCATAGTAGATTTACGGACTAACAAGTTAACAACTAGGATCAGCTGTTTATAACACCTGGCTGACCTCATCGGCTACCCGCATCCCGTTAGTGCCTCACAGACCAGTATTCCTCAGCGCTATCTTATAAAGAATGCATCGCGTTTATTTACTAAATGCTCTGTAATCATAAGGCCTTTAGGTGTGCTTTATTCACCTGTACGGAGAAAATTACCCTGAAAAGCGACAGGGGTGCCCACAAGACTGTCAGCTGTTAGTCCCAGCTAGGAACAGTTGTTAGAATATCCCCTATAGACAAGACTTTCAGCAGCGACATCCTGACACAAGGGAAGACCAAAGAACCGAAGTCGTAACAAGCTTAACTAGCGGTGAGTATCTAAAATCCTACCTAACCTGGAGGTCTTTGGCTGACCTATGCTGATTCTGATAGAGTTCGAATGATGCTTGCAGAAATACGTCGAGTATAGATTGAGTATATGCTAGAGATGAGCAGCCGTATGTATAGCGCTGATAGGTGTCGAACCTACCTCAACTCATAACTCAATTTTCTTTGACTATGTCCTAACGTCGCACTTCCAACGGGTGGTGATACTCACCTCTCTGTTAGATAGGTGGGCTTTATGAAGAATATGAACAACCCTCAGCCGTTATTAGAAGTTCCGTTAGAAGTCCTCGGAATAGTATAGGGGACATATATTAGGTATGAGTATATTAGATATATGCTTAATATATACCTCATCTAAGCTTAGAATCATACTCTATATAAACAATAAGCTTATCGTGAATGGAATAAGGCATGTAATCGTGTAAGACTACCAAAGTGATGACCAAAGCACAAAACCTTGAATTTGACACCCCATGAACACGGTTAAGTTCCCGAAAAGTGACCAGGAAGATTCTGGCGAAAATGAAAAGGATTGGAGTTAGCAGAATTTCTACCAACTCAGTATTTCAATGGATTCTAGACGGTAGAAATAAGTTCTGCGTTGTTATCCATAAGCACCAGCAGTTCCTTCGGATCGAGCAGAGCTCACGGCTATTGATCCTTAGAGAGAAGGCAGAGAGCGTTGAGAAATCTACGGGCACTTGTATGACGCATGCTGGATAGCAACCCATATAGACATGCAAGACGACCCAGTTCTGAAATCATTATTCCCATATAATCGCGCCCTAGAACCTCTTTCGGGCGACATTATAGTAGACTACCTTTGTGTTATGGTGACCGACGCAGTATACGCATCGTCGCTGTGTCATAACAACCCTCGCCTCACCTTCCCTCTCCTCCCCCCCTTTCCCTCCCCCTTTCCTTCCCTTCCCTTAACCTCAATCCTTCTCAATCGCTTTGCACGAGTACTCGTCGTCCACCCAGCTGCTGCACCACCTGAGACACCGGATCTTGTCCCCGAACAGACGCAGGGCCGCGCATCCGCGCTTCAGCTCCCCCAGCGGGTCCCCCTGGCAGGCGTTGGCGCCCGGGACCGAGTCGGCGAAGGCGTACCACTTGAAGATGCCGTCGTTGGCCGTCTGGACGTAGACGCTGTTCGTCTCGTTGTCCACTAGCGATGTATACGGTCAGCAGGTAAGTACATCATAACGATAGCCACACACCATGCTATAACATAGATGTATTTCTTCAACAGTACGTGCATGTGAATTGTGAAAGGGGAGGAGAGGGGTGTATATATAAGTAGGTGTCAAAGAAATACAATCTGACAACCCGAGACCTGCGAACTTACGTGGTATCTGCCAGTACTTCATACCGACGTGGGCGTGGACCACGCCGCCTTTGCAGTCGTCCGTCTTGAACTCGTTCGCCATGAAGCTAAACCAGGCCGCGCTGCTCGTGACGAGGGACAGTAGTGCTGTGGTGGTGGTGACAAGGTTCACCATGGTTGCTAGGTTCGGAATCAAGGTGGAGGCGATAATCGAGCGTCGCAAGTATGGCTGTCTGGGAACGCTGAAGAGATCTGTATGTATTGATGTCTATTTTTTGTACATCGGATTTGATTGCACTCTAGTATAGAAAAACTAGAGTCTCAAGGGAATCGGGAAGGATCAAAATGCCAGAGATTGCTTCGCGGTCTGGTTGACGGGTTCATACGAAATCACTCGGGAAACAAAGACGATTGTCGTTGTCGAGCTTGGACGGTGCGACAAAGAATCGAGGGCAAAGGACGGGATGAGATGGGATGGTCTCATATGGGACAATAATTGGACATCATGACCGGCTCATTCTAGGCTTGCTTCTCACCAAACCTACTTTGTTATAAGTTACTCCTGAACTCGAGAATATGTCAGACAAT